CCCCTCACACAACATCCAGAAGTAGTTACACCCCAGGGCATACTGAGTCAGCACATGGAGCACACGGCAAGACACCTGGAGAGACAATCAACAGGTGTCACACAATCAACAGTTGTTCATCCTAAACCTAAACCTAATCTCAACCTAAACCTGATCTAAACCCCTCACACAACATCCAGAAGTAGTTACACCCTAGAGCATACTGAGTCAGCACATGGAGCACACGGCAAGACACCTGCAGAGACAATCAAAAGGTGTCACACAAACAGGTAATTAAATAACTCTTCATCCTAAACCTAAACCTAATCTAAACCTGATCTAAACCCCTCATACAGCATCCAGAAGTAGTTACACCCCAGGGCATACTGAGTCAGCACATGGAGCACATGGCAAGACACCTGGTGAGGCCCTGGTTTTACCTCTCTTCCTAAACTTACATGTATACCTAAACATAGATCTAAACCTAATCTAAACCTCTCACAAAGAATTCAGATGTACATGTACCCCCAGAGCACATGGAGTACATGGCAGGACACCTAGAAAGACAATCAACAGGACTCTGTGCTCCTCCTAAACCTAAACCTGAACCTAAACTAACCTTAAACTCCTCACATATCAATTAACTGTTACTTCCACCAGTAATTCTTATACAGAACCTATACATAAACGTACAATCACATTTTGAGCTATCTACATGTAAACCTGTAAATTTTAGTCTGGTAGATTTTAAGAAAATGTTTGACTCCTTACCGGGTTCTGTTTCAGAAGTTTATTGTCGGGTACGACCACGGTGAACCAGATGATCCACAGGATGGAGTTCAGGATGAAGGCGAAGAACAGGTTCTTATGGATGGTGATACGTGGACAGCTTAAACTCCTGCACAGCAAACAAGATATAGAAGAAAGATTAAAGAGGACATCTACATCAGGGCATTACAACCATCCCTCAACAGAGACTGGGGGCGCCACAGACTTTCTGCAATCTATGATCCACTGCTCACGGAGTCACGTGTGTTATCTGCGTGACGTCACGGAAGCGGTGGATTGTTCATTCCTTGACAAAGACTGGAGTTGTACAGTCAAAAATTTGGGTGAGTCCAATTTCTTGTGTTGGAAATTACAGTTTAAACTTGCTGCATAAAGATATAGAAGAGATACCCAGTAAACATTTAAATCTGATACAAAACACACATAGTTTCATCAGGTTGGTAAGCTACTGAGTTAAGAGACTCTTTTTTGCACAACCAAGAGTTTTATTCACAGCCAACTTAGTTAATCATCTCTACTCCATTGCAATTAAGTGCCTTACAATTGTGTGTTTAAAAGGTTGAAACACATCTTTCTGCCATGTTTGGATGTTTGGTACATGTAGGTGGCATTCTGGTAATTTGTGGTAGTACCACAAACTGAGTGTGCCTCGTGTGGCCTGTTTTAGTGCCAGAAATGTGAGATATTTGCACAAAATTTAGTAATACATGACGTATACATGTATGTTGAACACTCAAAGTGAATTACAATCAATATTTTTTTAAATTGATACTTAAATGTTTCCTCTACTTGTCATTGACCGAGGTGGGGGTGTACATGTGCTATACTTTTAAGCCAATAGTTTGACTTACATGTAGATACTGATATTTTTAGATTGTTTAATACTTACTTGAAGTAGAAGAAGATACCCAGTGACACGACAAGGGCGATCAGAGACAAGCCGTACCCTGCCAGGGTGATGTACAACAGACTCAGGTGTCGCTGTAGCAAGAGAACATCAGCATGTGAATCTACTGGTATTGCTCTCCAGATCTTAAAGGCATCCAATGCAATTTCAGAGTAGCAAAACTGGAAATATTCTGAATAAGGCAATCTTTATGATATTCACACATACTGCTTCACATTAGCACATTTCAGTCAGCATTTCATACTTTGGGCATTTATAACTGCAGAAACAAGCCCCAAGATAAGGCCTTCATTTTATGGGTGGTACCCTAAAAATCAACCTAGGGCCCTTCCAGTAACCATTTTCCGACAGAGTTTTGTGTATTTTTGGTCCATGAGTGTCAATAGACATTGGGATAGTGTTTTTTTTTAACTCAGTATGTACAAATGTAGATAAGTGACTAGAATATTGACTTTGAAAACTCGGGTTTCCAAGCCCTAAAACTGCACTGGATGCCTATTCAACAAGGGTCAAAAGCCACATATGAATTGGAAATGTGTAATCTGGAAGTAACAAATGCAGTCTTTACATTACACTGTAAGGCCACACCGACTTAATTTTATGGATGACATCCACGTCCGCATTGATTTTTCGCCTGTTCTAAAAAAAGTCATGTCCTCCGAGGCTCTGGCTGGTTCTAGGCCTGGGTAGTCCATGGTTGTTGGCGACAATACGGAGCTGGTGGTAACTCTGGAGGATGACTCAAGAACTCAGTACATACATGTATGACATTGTACAATGCCGATTCATAAATTCTGCAAAAAGCCAGCATGTGCCAGCTTGTGGCATACCTCACTACACTGTATGTACTGCCACAAATTCACAATTCAGCTTTGTATTCCTGTGGTTTAGTAGCATTTTTATTTTTTATCATTTTTTCATTTTTTTTAAATTATTTTTTTACTTTTCATAGTTTGCATATTTTATTTATTGGGGGTCTTCATCCATAAAATTAAGTCGGTGTGGCCTAACTTAGACTGTGGCAATACAATCAAATTTATCGCAGTCAGGAGTCGAAAGTACCAGTGAGATTTATTTTACGTATCTTGAATAATTCAATGCAAGTTATGTAGGTAGGTTACATTGTCATTAACATTTAATGATCTTCGCTTCTGTGTGATGACGTTTGCAAGAAATGTAAGGCAATGTCATGCACTGTCTGTGAGAAGACCTCAGAGAATATTTTCCGCTGTACGTGGCAAGAAATTCAAATGTCAGTAGTGGTAATTGAATTGCTCAAACTGTCAAAGGCTATTTTTAGCATTCGTCGATCTGGCTAAGATTGTACTTTTTGTTATATACATTTTCACATTCAGTTAAGCTGGATCATAGTGAGTGGGAGTGAGTTAGTACAGCTGAAGTGTACCTGCGGTAATTCTATTGCCCTCAAAGATCTATACTATTTTTAGCATTGGTCAGGCTAAGAATAGTAAGATTGAAGGTTTTGTTATATCACTGCTACGATTTTCACATGTCAGATAAACTGGTCTTCATATAGTGAGTAGGAATGAGTTAGTAAGGCTAAAGTTTATGTGGCAATTGATATTTTGCCCTCAAAGCCTGACAGTTTGACACAGGTATTTTTAGCATTGGTCAGGCTATAGCTAAGACTGTACTGTAGATTCATTTAATGTGGCAGGTACATGTAAATTTCCTGGCACAGTTACTGTATCTTTGAGTTTGCGGTTGAAACATTTAATGTTGAATGTACAATATGGCTAGTATATGGGAAGGCAAATGTTTTCAATGTGATGCTTAGCTTTGGCAGTGAGAGCTAGGTCACCAAAAAGAAACAAACTCAAAAGTCACCATAAAAATCTAGTTGTACTATAACATTGTACTGTTGTACTGTAACGTTGTAGTACTAAATATATTGGAAGCATGCAGCTGAGAGGTCACAAAAAGGAAATAAACTCAAAAGTCACCACAAAAATCTCAAAATTTATAGTGCAAGGGATTGTATTCTAAATTTCTCAACTCTATTTCAAATGCGATGACCTTGACAAAATGGCTGTCGTACATGATCCATATTTTACAGTACTTCCGCATGTGAAACGGACTCTTCCATCAAGCTCTTGATCCCCCACTCAAGTCGTACAAACCGTCCTATGCCTTTTTCCAATGCCCCCGGTGCTAACATAAGCATGTTTGAGTGCACCTGTCAATCAATTAATGGGGATCCCAAGGTGCTTGCTGCGTGTCATGATACTTCATGAACCACTGAGGCTCTCATCAGCAGTCAGACAGCTGGGTACACTGAATTATGCATACAAGTTGAAGATGTCAGGTGCAATTACACCTGATCGAGGTGTAGTTACTGTAATATTTCTTTTCATATTTACCTTTGCCAGAAGGTTTGGTTTGGCTATGGTGGGGTGCATGTGGATTTATGCGACATAATACTTGAGGCCATGGATGGATTGTTCATGATTTTTGTAGGCAGGTTATCGTTGTGAAGGCAAAGGTCAAGTTTGAAGATGGGGCTTTGGGGGTCCCTACTGTATGTCACTGTGGTAGACATTTTGTTTGTTTGTTTGCTTGTTTGTTTGTTTTTTGTGACCAGGATAACCCGAGATTCTGTAGATGGATCGTGATAAAATTTAGCAGGTGGCTAGGGTCAGTAAAAAGGAAGCTCAAGTTCGAATTCGGGCCAAATGGTTACTGCTTACTATAGCAATACTGGTGGCTTGAGCAGCTATTTTAATGAGGGTATATGAAATTTTTCTAGCTTTTGCTGACTCAAGAAAGTAAGAAAGTCTACTTTTATTAGCCTGCAAGGTTTCCTTCTGAGCTGTAAACAGAGTCACCTTGAGATGCCCTTGCTGTAAAGCCTGAGTTTTCTCAAGAGAGATTTCCACAACTAAGATACCATCTAAACCACCGAAACACAAGGATGGTGGGAGCAATCATGTATTCTGTGAGGAGACTGTCGGGTAGACAGATTGGGTAGATAAGAGATAAATTATGCTGTAGACAATCAGGACAATCTGGTAGTTGGGGTTTATAGTCAGCAGAATTCCACATCAGCTGATGAATTAGTCAAAATGGGTAAAGCACTTTTTTTACTGGATTACAAGTTGGGCCAAGAGTCAAGAAATATTGCCCATGGAAACTACTAGGTAAAATGAACGGAAGATTTAGTTAGTGTCTTCTTGAAAGTTGTCCAAGAAAGACTTTGTAGCTCACACAATTAGTCTCTTGAAAGGATCTTAAAGGTTTTTCTCAAGCATGGATTTTTAGGATAATCGCTACCAGCAATCAATAGAATAAGCCTGGCATATATCAAGCGTTAAATGGACCTTAATTCTTTTGATCAACTGCATGATCACCCATCCATTCAAGCTCTCAGTCTGCACATATTGATTGTCCCTTCTATCAATAATAGACATGGCTTCAGGCCAGAAAGGCAGGCAAGCACATAATATCCTATTCTGCTAAGCCCAGGGCATACCGGGTACTAAGCATTCTGTTGTTAATTCTAAAGAAACTAGCAACATACTACATGATGGGATATAGTGATGTTGGTTGTATAGGCTGTTATTCTGATGAAATAATTATGTGATAATTGAACATTGTGAAATAGTAAATTCATTTTAAGTCTGATTAAGAGGAGTCTACAAACACACACCAGATTTGCATAAACTACAATGAATGGCAGAAAGTATTTGACATCTAACATACATGCAAGGCTTTACATCTTTAGACTTAACATTTTAACAAAATTATGTCTCCTATCATTTTATATCCTTAACAAACTTTATCACTTGTAAACTCATGGCTAATTCCATTAAAGATACATTTTGTAAGCTCACATAGCCAATTTCCTGCAGCCTCATTATCTAGTATCTACATTGTACTGATCAATGGCCCTCACCACACACTTTTCATAAACTCTTCTGAGGAAGAAATATGATAAGGACGATGTTGATGATGATGATGATGTGGTGATGCATATGATGATGATGTTATTGGTGATGATAGTGATGTTATTGGTGATGATGGTGATGATGATGACGATGTTATTGGTGATGATGGTGATGATGATGACGTTATTGGTGATGATAGTGATGTTATTGGTGATGATGGTGATGATGATGATGATGTTATTGGTGATGATGGTGATGATGATGATGTTATTGGTAATGATGATGATGTTGATGATGTTTATGATGATGATGATGATGTTATTGGTGATGATGGTGATGATGATGATGTTATTGATGATGTTGATGATGATGTTATTGGTGATGATGATGATGTTGATGATGTTGATGATGATGTCATTGGTGATGATGTTGATGTTGATGATGATAATGATGATGATAGTGATGATGATGATCTCTGCCTAAGGATATCTTGTAAATTACCACATGCTACTATAGATAAGTAGTGTTGTGTGCCTTACCTGCTGATGCTGGCGTGTGTTGGCGTTACAGATGGTGTAGTTGGACCAGCTACGGTTGCTCTCAGGATGGCGGTACCAGGACCCATCTCTCATACACTTCTTACTTGCTCTCACTGTTATAACAGAATTTTACATCGTGATCTTAGTCATTTTCCAGGATCTGTGACTTGTTATTAATCTTCTTTGTAATGTATAATGCATAAGTTCTGATAATATTTGAATTACGTATTTGTGTACAGAAACCGCAATTCAGCACTGGTCCTGCAAAGGTTTTTTATATTGAATAAACTATTCTCTCTCTCTCTCTCTCTCTCTCTCATAAGGAAAGATCATTAAGAATGTAATTAAATTTGCATTCAGTTAGAATATATTTAAACTTTATAAATTGAAGTTACTTTCCCATTTTCCTAATGGAGCATTTGACAGCAACTACATGTATTAGTATAGTGAAGTTAATCAGATACAATGTAGTATGTAGGACCCATTCATGATACACATATAAACACCTAGTTGATCAATATGGCTTCATGAATGGGACATTCAGTTTTATTCTTCAAATTTCACAGTGAATTTTCCATCCCCAGAGCTAAATGCACCAAGGCTATATGCTGAGGGTCTCTGTTTTCATGAATGAATGATAAACCGAAAAAGGGAGTAAGTCAACAGTCATTCTACAGCCTCAACTAGAGTTCCGTGATCTCACGCCTTCGCCAAATGACTGATGACTTACGAGTGTTCCTCATTGATTATGCAAATGAGATCCTCATTTGCACGTCATGTACATATAGAATACAACATGGGTATTTCGTATCGCCCGAGGTACCAGCCCGAACGCACGTCGGATCGCGGGAGGGCTGGGACTGAGGATGATGCGGAATACACCGTGTTGTATTTTATTTATGTCATACCCACCCAAGAATACGCGCCTTTCAATGCGAAATGAGCAAAAATTTGGTGTCCCTAAACCCAAAAATGCGACAACATCAATTCCAACGTCCGGATTCTGTATTCGAATTTCGAAATCGGTGCACGCGGTTAGGCCGTACGCGTAAAGAACCCCCGGGCTGTACTGCTAGTTATCACACAAGCCGGAACACCCGTATCGAACGTAATCGCGGCCCAGGTAGGACATAAATGTACTTACGGCTGGTGTCGAAGTCGGAGAAGAAGTCAGGACAGTTGAGTTCTGCCTCAGTCCCTGCTGGCGTGTCCCCCCAACATCCCCAGCCATCCCACGTACGGTTACAGAACACACCTACAACATGACAGGATATGTATCAGCTTCTGTATCTGTATAGTCGGTATTAAACCACCCTTTGGCATAACACACCAGCTTCTGTATCTGTATAGCCGGTATAACCACCCTTTGGTTTAACACACCAGCTTCGCAGACACGCGATGCGGTGGCAGCTGTCTACATTACACCTAACCTTTGATCATCTAACTCAAAAGATTTTTAAAGCTATTTAATGATAATGATAATGCCCTTCTGTCCTTGGTGACAGCGATTTCCACTCTGTGATAGTTCTAGAAAAGAATCTGAGTTTTTGGACACCTCAATACTTGGTTGATACCTCTGGTGCTTGAAGCCCGATGATGACTTATTTCTCATTCTTTTCTGAGCTGGTATTAAGTACTTAGTCAGGATGGTGAAAATGGTTCTGCATGTACATGCCTAAAGCCAGGATTTTGAATGGGGGGGTTCTTCTCACTGCTTGAGGGGGCCAGCGAGCGCCGTAGGTGCTAATAGTATGCGAGCGCCGAAGGCGCGAGGTTCCCAGGGGGGGTCCAGGGGCATGCCCCCCGGAAAATTTTGAAAAATGAACCTTCTAAACTGGCATTTCCTGCGTTTTTGTGAGGATTTCAAAGAAAAAATCAGAGATAACTATTTATTCAATGATAGAGTGAGCAGTTTTTCTACGATTCCAGTCCTGCTGATACGAATCCAATGAGTCGATCTTTTAAAGAAAAATTTGAGACCTTTACTTTAGATAAAAAGTGGACCAAAAAGTGGACCTTTGAGCCTTGTGTGTGTGGGGGGGGGTTCTTGGCTACATATAAAAGGAACAAAGTACAGTACGTGTGACAAAGTGATGTTGGGAAGTTTGTACTAAAAAACTCAACTCAAGTCCAAAAGCCAAAAAGGCAAACTCAAGGCAAAAAGCCTTGGTACCACCAATCCTGAACTACATCCACGGTGGATCACCTAATAGTATACTTTGCCCTGAGACCTGGGTTTGTGTAGGATTTTGTCATTCAGATTATGAGTCTAGACCTGATATAGTAGGCCACTTATTTTGAAGAAAGCTACGAGAAAGCTAAAAATATATTTGGTATAGTAGTAAACAGATTTAAATGCTCAAAGTTATCTCTCTATTTTCTTCTCCAATACTTGATTGCTCAGTGGTCCTGACACCAAACACTTCCTTTGGTTGATTGAATGGTTGATTGTTCAACACTTTAGCACTTAAGCATCCTTGGATCAGTGCCTATATATAGTATTTGAGCATTACACTTATAGTATTACCGTTCACCTTACACCCACTGGCTAGTCCAACAGGATTCGCCACTAACCTTCACCTTCAAATGGAGGGTCTGTCATCATCTTCATGTAGCACTCGTACTGCGATGTCATCATCTTCTTCTGTTCCAGGGTCAGTCCCTTCACTGTGGGCTGGGACGTCTGACCTCGGCAAACATCCAAACCCTGCAATTCGTTTATTTGTTTATTGCCAGTTTGCACATAAAAATAAAAATAGTATGTAATGAATATGTAACATCTGTGTCCATAATATCACCAGGGTCCACAATATCGCCACCTTGAGAAACAGCGCGTTTAAAGATATTTTTACTGCAACATACATTTGGTATGCACTCCTTCACACATCAAATGTACATACCTAGGGTATGTTGCAGTAAAAATATCTTTAAGCACACTATTTCTCAAGGTGGCAATATTATGGACCCTGGTAATATTATGGACACAGATGTTACAACCAAATATGCGGGAGAACGCAAGAAACCTAAGGGTTTATTGAGTGGGTTCTCCCAAAATCCAATTGTTTTTATGACCTCTTTTTACACACGTGTATTGTAAATAAGTGACAACGAAACAAACAAATTAAATCAAAATATATACAAAATAATATAATAGAGTTAACACGACGAACTAACTAACTAACTAATTGACTAAACAATAAAGTAAGACTATCAAAAACATGTCAATTTCAACAAAAAAATAAATTTCCATTAGTCAAATCATAAGTTATTATGCATAAGAGCAAAGGATAAACATAAGAAAGCAATGACATCATCATCATGCCAGATTAATCGGGTGAGGTATGTTTGATAAAGTCACTCCACCATAAATTTTGCCAAAGAAAGGAACTCAAAAGTGTGTGCAGCGTGGATACTGATCAGAAATAAAGAGACTACTTCTTTGAATATGTTTGAATGGACAGAATTTAGCTCCCGTTGCGTGAAGGCTGATATTTTGCGGGGTGTAACAGTCGCTAAGAAGCCACAGAGTTATACATGTATGTTAGTTAGATGCTTCGTAGATAACAGTACGAGAGAACTGTAGAAAGAGTTCACAAAAAAATACTGAGTAAGAGGAAACAAGTGAAAACAACATCTCTGTTTAGAACAATTTACAATTTTAAGTATGTTTAACCTTCTCCCTGCTGCCTAACCTGTAACCAATAGGTAACTTTAAAGACAATGTAGGTAGCCAATTAACAGCTTATTCAGTATGCTGAAGGTTAAATACTTACCCCTATGATGACAATGATGATTGTGAACTTGGCAAGCATGGTGTCTGCTTCTCCACAGGTCTGTATGAAAAGAAACAGGACAACGTCTGAGGTTAATGCAACACATATTTTAGCACTGCAAAAGAAATTTTGTTCCCGTTCCCCTTACCATGTATTCAAACCATTCATTAACACTTGTGGCCACACTGATTTTATTATGACTATGGATGACATCCATGCACACATTGTGCTCTGGCCTGGGTGCCATCCTCCATATATAGTCTGTGGTAGCTTAAGTGACAGTAGGGAACCTGCGGTAGCTTACACCCAGGCTACAGAAGCTCCAAGGAACTCAAGAACTCAGTACAGTGCCAACTCATAAATGCTGCAAAAGGCCAGCATGTGTCGGCTTCATGTAAAAGTAGCCATGTACTATTAATTTTCACTTACCGCAAATTTACAATACCAGCTTTGTATATCTGTGTCATTTTTTTTCGGCTGGAACTTTATTTTTTATATTCACACGTATGCACTAGTTTGGGGGTCTTCGGAGGATGTCACCCATAGAATTAAGTCGGTGTGGCCTGACTTGGGATGAAGTCATTTTCTAACTTTCTAATTTTCTAACACAGGCATGCTGTGGTCTACAAAATGCCCACCACTGATTATTACAGGTGGCTCAACACATGCAACATAATTGGAAGTTCTCTACGGGTGACAATTACAAACTGTCTGTGCCCAGCAGTGCAAAGGAAATGGAATACACCATTAGGTCACATCTAACTTAAAGCAAATGAACAAGAGTCCATGGGACATTCAACACAAGTTTAGTAATGTCATCTCACAGACTGAAGCAAACAGCAACTAGAAACTTTAAGGTAACATTTGACAAGAAAATACAATTAGTTGATCTTTGTATATGGTCTGCTCTTTTAATTCTTACTTAAAAACACTTTGAATTTTATGCAAAAATGTAATACTTTATGGTCAGACATGAGTTTAAATCCCTCCTGCTATAAAATTGCCACATGATGTAACCTAACACCAGTTACCATGGTGATAGAGGTCTGGTTCAGGTCATTGACCTTATTTTTGTAAGAACATTGAAAAAAAAGTATTTCGACCAGAGTGACAGTTGGTAAACCTTGACACAGTCATGCAACGCACACCATGACACAGTACCAACTTAATTGCTTGTGGCAGAAAAAAAAAATCATGATTATCATAGCAATTCATTTTCATCAGACACCATAAGTTGATTGGATATCAGGCTTTAAATCATCTAAACAATCAAGGTGATCACTTGCTTTCAAGTCACCTTGAAAGCAATATACAAAATGACCTCTATAGTACTTTATTTTGGATGTAGGCCAAGGTCGATCCCCAATAATTGTTCATTGCAAGCATTGGTCTGAATGGATTAGCACAGAAATCCCGATGATGACTGAGAAAGCCCTTGCCAGTTGCGATGTTTCAAGTTTGCTACAATCTTAACATCAGTAATTTGACACCAGTCACGAATAGTGACAGGAGGAGGTGTAGACTCAGTCACGTTTGGGAGTGCATCCTTGCCATCATGTCATAAAGTGGCACAGAGTGGTGGCAAAGTCCAGTCACGTTTGGGACAGCATCCTTGCGGCAACAAGGCTGCACAGAATTCATTAATCAAGCCCTGAGGAAGGTTATGTGTATAATAGCTGATTTACCCTGGATGCCAGACTACTATCGGCCCACTAACCCTTTCTCTTCGGCAGCCAGAAGCCTTTCGCTCAACTGACTAGCCGGAGGGGAATTTGGCTGGCCCTAGAACTCCTTGTAGGGCCAGCCAACCCCCACCCTCCTTGTAGGGCCAGCCAAACTCCCCCCCGGGCTAGCCTGGGTACCATCCGGATTTTCGCTCCGCAACGTTCGAAAAATCGAGCCCGTAGCGGTAATTTAGACAGGCGGGTGAAGGGCTCTTGGCTGCCAAAGGGAACAGCTAGCGGCCTGAAACAAGTTTGGCACCCAGGGTAGTAGCTGGAAGGTTACTGAAACCTCACCTGATAAAATCCTTTTGGTTGTGCAGCTACGAACCCAATCTATTATATTCATTCTGCTACAATTTTGCATTCACGGTGTTGTGTTCCTTATCTCTTCACGTTACTATACACTCAGTAATTTTCATTTCTACATGTATATCCACCACTTGTCATTCATGTACTGCATTACATTTATGACACCTATACAAAGTTCTCTTCAATAGAGCTCACAGATATGTAAGTTTGAGAGATATATTTTTCAAGAATAAAATGTATTTTGCTGACATGGGTGTTAGAAATCACCTGACACACTGGTAATATAATTCAATTCACTAAAAACCAAGATAAAAGCGATCTAAAAAAAACCCTCTACAATTGATTGCCTGTAAACCTTCTCGACTGAAAGTAAATCAAATTTGAAATGGCCATGCCATCTCCCAAAATAGAAACTAAGAAAAAGATGAAACAGAATAGGATATAGCATTGAGATAATAATAATTGCAAGATGCATTATGTTGTACTTAAAAAAAAAAAGAGTGGGTCATCCTTGCTCTTTGTGTCTTTCAGTGATGCTTTTTATATCTTGCTTCTTTCATTTTACCCTTTGAAATGAAACAAAAGCATGATCCTGCGAAAAGTGTCACGAGCATCACTCGTTCGACTGGCTTCCTGCGATCAAAAAGAGAGAGAGAGAGAGAGAGATCACCAGCGATAGTAAATTGGTTTCGCACTGTGGCAAGACCCCTGAGGTATGATATTAGCCTTTGAAGTATGATATGCAGTGATTCAGCTCAGGACAGGCAATGAATTATTAAAAAGTGTGGATAAAAGTCAAAGGGAGATTTCAGTGCAGAGAAATTCTGTTCTAGTTACATCTAAAATCAGATTTCAAGTATTGCCAACGAGTCTTTTAAGGGAACTGCATTGGTCATTATCATAGGACAAATGACTAAATAACAAAGAATTTAATACCAGTTAGTGATTAAACTACATTGTACGTCAAACAGTTTGTGTTATGCACATACATGTATCTAGCTCTAGAAAAGTCACAAAACAATCTCATACCCATACAAAATACCAGAACAAGTCAATCGGTGTAATATATGTAGCCAGCTGCCGCCGTGCCGCTAGCCTGCCAAGCTGGTGTGTTACGCCAAAGGACGTTCATGCCAGTTATACCAATAAATGTACAGAGATACCTGTATCTAACTATTGTAACAAGGGAAATACATTCTCCTGTAAGGAAATACCTCAGATAGGCCATTTCTAACACCTAAATTATTTGTCTCCATTATGTTTTACAATGGTATCTGATTGCTCAAACCCTACTCATGTATTTTATTGGCCATAAGCCCAGATTATATCACCCAAAGGCGTGATACAACAATACAACAATAAATCATGGCCAAAACTAAAACAACTCCCCAGAGCAATAGCCTCCTTCGCAGTCTTGTTGGGCGTCGACGTTATTTTTTCTCTGAGCGACGCGAGTAATATGCGGCCGCGAGGGACGATTTGCTGCCGAGGGAGTTTTTGCCACGGAGAGAAGGTTTCGCGCTCCACACAAAC